AAACAGTAATTTAAGCGTGTATAGAGTCAGCATATTTTCACATCTGACTGACAGAATTGAGGGTTTATTTCAACCAAACCAGAGTTGGTGATTTTTGGAACAGTGGGAGGATGAACCAAAATGGCTTCTGTGAGTTTTATTTTGTTTCCGTCAACTCTGAATAAGGTGAGTTTTACAATGATAAAATTACCGTTTAATTGAATGGAGTCTGGTGGGTTTGCTGATGTCGGGGCTGTTTTTGGTTTTACAAAAACGGATCTTGCTCTTTAACAAAAAGGTTGATCTTTAGGTTATGTTCCTATAATGTCAGACACTTAGAAACAATCTGAGCCTGTCAGTAGCAAAAACAGCACGTACACTGGAGGTGCGAACATGCCAAGAGTGGTTACATTGCAGCCGTCTGCTGCGCTTATGCTCAACAACTGTTGTTCCCATAAGGGTCCATGTTCTAAAATACCAAAGTTACCCTTTAAATCCAGCGGTGGAAAATATTATCCAATTTCGAGGTACCTGTACTTTGAGTATTTCCATTCTAAGCCACTTTACACTTGTATTCCACCACTGACAATTCAGAGGAAAATATTGCACTTTTTATTTGATTTCATTTATTTGACAGCAAGTTACTTTTCACATTAAGGTTTTACATTATATAAAACATGTTAGCTTATGAAATACTATAAGACAATGTCTTTTTTGCTCACATGACCTCCTCCAAAACAGTTTCTGATGTCTGTGAGTTGTTAGAGGTTCCACCAAATTGTGAAATGCCCTCTGAACTTCTCACAAAAGTCCAAAAAAATGATTATATTTTGTATAGCTGGTCTTTTATTTTAATCTTCTGACCCTTTGGACTGAGCCCTTGGTTGGGAACCACAGGACTAAACTACTTAGTTACATATACAGGAGTTAAAACGAGCTCCACTGCATCCAGCTTCAGCAGTAACTACTTATACATTTATACAACAGCACAAGCAATATGTCATATATCAATACTTATACTTAAATAGTTATATTTAAAGGGATACTTCAGACCTTTTGAAGTGGGGTTGTATGAGGTACTTACCCATACACAGTGTGTTACCTACAGCAGATGTCAGTCGACACGCCCGAGGTCTACACCATTTAGCTTCTGTGGCGGTACTCCTGTCTGCTTCTCCAAACTGGTTGTGTGCTGACTGACATCTACTGTAGGTAATACACTACGATGGAGAAGGACCTCATACAACCCCACTTCATAAGAATCCAAACTATCTTTCTGTAAAGGATCCGATTACTTCCCTCACCATGGCTTACATCCATGTTACAACTACACATGATGGATCCCACACACCTTTCGGTTAAAGGTCACATTACTAGACTGACACAAGGTTTATTAGATCCAATTTCAAAAGCTGATAAAGGGACGAATACGAGAAATGAGAGGCACTAAAAGTAATAGAAAGGATTAAAAATGTGTCCTAAACTTTTTTTCATTTTGCTTTAAGTTAATATAAACAGCCTCTCTGCAGCACTAAGAGGTATTCGGAGATCAAAGAACAAACCAAACCGAGCTTTAACCAGCACATGAAGCCAGTTCTCAGTCACAGTGCACAAAGGCCGGCCAGTGCATTACTGCTGCTCCTTCAGAGAGATTCTTATCTTTCTTTGGTGACCTAGATTGGACTGTAAACTACCAGAGGACTGCAAAATGAACTAGCCTCAAGAAAGAAACGTTGGTTTTCTACAGAACTTATTAAGTTTTATGGCTATAAAAATCAGCATCAGTGCGTTACATACAGTGTAGTACAGTTGAATAAACCCCCGCCCCAGGTAGCGTTATGAGAAGGGTTACAGTTGGACATTTACATTTACAAGGAACTGAAACCTGCTGCGGCCTTTCACTTTTAAAAAAACCAACAGAGAGATAATCATAGTGACAGAAATGTCGCTCCATATGCAAACGAGTCGTCTTTTGAACAAGAAATTCAAAATTTAAAAAAACACTGCAGCTGACTTTTACATTAAAGGGCGGGGTCAGTGGTGGAAAGTAACTGAGTACATTTACTCAAAGTCGAGGTATTTGTACTTTCTATTCATGATACTTCTCCTCCACCACACCTCAGAGGTACATAGTGTACTTTATACTGCGCTACATTTGTCCCACAGCTTTTCAGAAGATAGTTTTTCATCCCCTTCCTAAATAAGTATTCATCACATCAAGTTTTGTTTTAATTAAACATATTTCCAATGCAGTTATTCGCCTGAAATGAAGTCGTACATTGGTACTAACTCAGTAAAACTACACTGACTAAGACATTTCAATCCATACTTAACACATTAAGTCAAATTTATTCAACACTGTTTGCAATGCAGCTTCATGATGCTTCCTGTATAAAGAAACTAATGTGAACACAGTGTTCAGACACACACACAGTCTTTATATCTTGAGGATTTTGGGGGGCCCAATAATGAATCTTGAGAAGGAGTTTTTACTTTTACAACTTAAATAATGAGTGTCCTCAGTTCCCACAGCTTACTGAGTGTCAAATTTAAAATGATTGTACATGTACAAAAAACAATAAAGTTTATCAGTTTGAAGAGTACATATTTTGTCTTTGTAAAGGTTTAAAAGGATTTGCAAATTATTGCACTTTGTGCAATTTATTTAAGGTTTAGACTGTTACGCACCTTTTTTTGGAATTAGGGTTGTATATGATAGGGAAACACTGACAGGGAACATTTTACTGCACAATCAATACTTTAAGTGCTTTTAGTACATTTTGCTAATGCATACTTTTACCTCAGTAAGGTTTTGAACCCAGGACTTTTATTTGTAGTGGAGTTTAGACAGTGTACCTCTTTCACCACTGCATATTAGACTGTGAGTAGGAAGAAAATTTTGAACTTATCCTTTAATCTCAAAGTCAACTAATTAATGATTTATTTTGCAACTGACTTCAGCTCAGATGGCTTCATTCTGATCAAACTAAAATCAAAAACGCTTTTTTTTTTTTTAAAGTCCATATTGCTGTTGCTCATCCTGTAGTTTCTATCGTTTTTACATCATCTGAACTTCAGTCAAATATACGTAATCCATCACGGTGAACTCCTCTGACAGAAACATACCCAGAACACGCTGGTTATTTCTAGCTAAAGGAAAGTCAGATTATCTTTGAAACCATCAACTCACAGGAACTGTTTTGCTCATTCAAACCTTCCTGCACCTCTCTGTCATCTGAGCAGGAAGTCATGCACAAACCTAAAGAGCCATGCTGGTGTATTATACGTATATTAAATTGCGTACGACACACACGAGTCAAGCTGTTAAAAAAAAAATACAGTTAAAGTGAAGTATAAGTGTAAAATCCAGTGTAAATGGGTCATGTTCACCCACAGATATGCTCAGTGTGTTGTAATCTATCTCCACTTCATTACAGGCTTATTACCCAACTTCACACTGCAACGTGATGTGGACGAAAAGCTACAGAGCGCCTACATGAGTGTAAATGACATCATTGCTCACCGGTACGAACAGACGTGGTCAAGATGGAAAAACTTAAGCCTTATAATGATTTTATTTGAAGTTGATAAAACAATAAAATTATTTCAAAAAATGTTATCCAAGTGTTTGTACTTTAAAGACTCTCAAATGTTGAGTGTTTTAGTTTGTGTCACTGTGATCGTGTGTCTTCAGCGTTTTAAAAATGCGCCTCCAGAAGGCAGAGAGTCAAGACGGAAGAGGAGAGAAGAAGAGAGCGGCTGTGACTGTTAGACCTCTTCCTGTGGTTACATCACGTGGTTGTGGAGGGTTCAAAAGGAGACAACTTCTTCTTCTTCTTCTTCATCCAGCACTCGGACAGACAGAAGACACCTGTGAGGCTGCCGGACGACTGCCGCTTGAAAGAAGAGAAAAGAAATGCAGGTTGAGGTGAAGTATTGATGGACGACATGGTGTGTATTTAAGGCAATAATTATTTGATTTAAAATGTTTTTAATGTGTCGGATAATGAAAGTGTTTCAGCCTTTACTTCATTAACTTTTCTTTTCACTTCTGGCACGACTGACCTCGACTCAGACGTCCATTTGGAGCTTGGATTAAAAAAACTTTTTACTTTTTTTTAGTATAATATTATTGATTTTGTTTATAAAAATTTTGTTTGTATCTATCAGATGGTTTATATTTCAGTTTATTTCTACACTTATTTTACAAGACTTTTTGAATGTGATCTGTTGCTCAGACAGAAAAGCTTACTCATGCCTGCCAAAATGGCTTCCTCAAGATAGCGCTTCCTTTTGGCAAGTTCTGACTTTTGCCTCAAACACTGCACCAAGGGGCGTTTGGAGGCACACGGGTGGGGCCCTTTGGATACCAACAGGCTTCACATAGATTTGAAGAAACTGTCTGTAAAACTGTGCATGCAAATGTTTCAAGGCAAATCAGGAAGTGTGCATTTTCAGGTTCGCCATTAAAGCGAGGGCTGTTTGAGCTGAGGTTTCAGTTTGGTGTAAAAATGTGTGTGTCTGGGCGGGGTTTGTTCGGTGTGTGCAGCTGCAGAGGCAAGCGCAGGTGCAGAAGAACGGAGAAGTGAGAGAAGACGAGCAGAGGATGTACAGTGCAGTCATCCATAAAGTAGAAAGCACTACTAAACTCCTCGCCACAGTGTAGTGTTTCCTACTTTATGGATGAGTGTACTGTTGGCTTCAGGGAGCATGGAGGCCGACGGCGCGCGCAGCCTGCGCAGGAAGTCAGAAGAAAGAGGAAGCAGCTTTGTCTCACAAGGCCACGCATTACCCAGAGTGTTGCCCCAGTCAGTTCACATGGGTGGTGTGTGGCGCAGAGCAAAGCTCGCGACTCTTTCTTCCATTTTAGAAACTCATCTGCTTTAACTGTCCTGCAAAAAAAAAGATAATCATGTTTATATGATGTATTATCTGTGTGAGATTCAATAAAAATTAAAATCAAACCTACCTTGTGTTAATGTCTGTTTTCAAGGGGCACCACAAACATTACAGACTCAGTGTTTTCTGTGAAAATATACATACTTTATTCCTGTAAAAAGATCCATATTGAAAGATCACAATTTCAAGTCCTCTGTGTACTACATCCTCAGTTACAGTTCCTCCATCCACAATGCCTGCGCATGCAAAAAAAATCTGAAAAACAATATTAACAAAAATATTTACAGATGCCAAAAGGGTAATAAAAACATTAATATATAAAAAGGTAAATCTTCCACTTTCAAACAATGAATGCAGGTCAGGAAAGACAAAAAAAAAAAAAAAAAATTCCTGCGCTGTATGAAAATATGCCACAACACTGTTCATTATATACACACACACCTCTCCTACAGCTTCCTGTCCACTGCATTGACAATCTACAATATTGTAGACGAGTCTGCCTAGAAAAACATAAATATGACAGTAACATAAATAAGGCCGAACATGGGTATAACATTGGTATGCATGCAGTCGATAAACATCCTGTAAACAACATATTAAGACTAAACAAGGTCTTCTTGTAAGGCTAAATATGGATCAACTGAGCTAAAACACTACCTACATGGGTCTATTCAGTCAACAGCGGAGCCGCCTACTCACTACACAGCAGGTCGAGGAATACTTGTGCATTAAAGGCCGTCAAAAACAAGATCAGTACAAATATTCGCTGTACATTTCGGCAACTTTTGAGCATCCAACCCCCTTTTTAAAAAAACAGACAAACAAAAAAATAAAAAACATAAATAAAACATACAGTACAGCCTCAGTCTTGCCTCTATCCCGGCTATTTTACATCTAAAGTGTCTATTTTTTCTTGGCATCATCATGCTCCCTTTATGTAACACTGAAGAAACATTCACAACATTGAGGGGACAGTTCGGATTTTTATAAGTGGGGTCATATGAGGTGCTGATCCATAGTCAGTGTATTACCTACAGTAGATGGCAGCTGGCACGCCCCCAGTTTGGAGAAGCAGACAGGAATACTGACACAGAAGCTGAGCAGTGTACTGCTGTGGATGAGGGCAGCAGCAAAATGTATTTTAGACACCTTAAAATATCACTATCTGTTTAAGTGTGCGCTATATTTACAGTGTTTTCACCTCTTTACCTTGATGTCATACAGCCCTTTCAGACGGGGACCTGAAGCCGTTATATCGCTCGTTATATTATAAAAGTGTTCTGTGAGGTAAAATTACGATTTCTGTCAAAAGAGTCTGGTGGCTTTGAAGAGATTGTCATAACAGCTTCAGCTCCCTGTCAGAAAAGGCTGTCTGACAGAAAGGTAAAGCGGAGCGAATATTCTAAATTTAGCATCCACCACCTAAACTGATATTGATGTCTTTAGGTGCTGCTGCTCTCGTCCACAGAAGTAGACTGCAGAGCGTCCAAGGCGGTTCCCCCTGCCTGCTTTTCCAAAGTGAGGACACGCTGACCGCCATCTACTGTAGGAAATACACTGATGATGGATAACTACCTCAAACAACCCCACTTTAAAAAAAATCTAAACAATCCCTTTAACGTAAAAAAAAAAAGAGAATTGCCTCCGACTTGTGTCATCAGGTGTGACTTCATCAGGTCAGCTCTGATGTTTAAAACAAACCCACACCAGCCCACTGAATGTCCCCACGCTGCTGCTGCTGCTGCTGGATGCTTGGTCTCTCGTCGCTATGGTTACAGGCAAAGCACCTAAGATTTTGGCATATTCTGCAGTTTTTGACAGCCAGAGTCAACGGGTGGCAAGAAACTACAAGTAGAAACCTGAGAAGTTTACCTAACAGCCCCGTGTCGCACAGAGAACAGATCCAATCAGAATGTGTTGTTACTGACTAACAAGCTCAATCCTAAGGCCTGGTCCACACACTCACACCGTAACTGAACACTACATGTTGATGCAGCGCCACAAACCATGAGACGAGACAGAGGGGTTGTGTTTTTCTTCTAGTATTGCAGTACACAATATTGCTAAAGTTGTATTATTCAGCTTTAAACAGTCTACGTTTTGATGATGCAAATGTGTGGACACAAAAAACTAATCGATAGACACTATTTAGCCTGTCTGACCCAATATTCACACACCACATGATGAACGTCGTTACACTCAAACATGGAGGCAAAAGAAAAGATACACAAACATCTTATTGCAGTCTGTAACAGTACATTAGCGCCACAAACCACCAGTGCCAGAAACTTTAAATGCAGCTCTAGTTAGTGTTCCTACACGCTACATTCAAACCAGAATGAATCCCAACGGCTTAAATACTGTATGTTATTAATGTAACCAGCACGACTGACTCTGCTTCACTCTGGACATCAAGTTAAACGAGAACATTTTTAAGTGTTGCGGACTGGTAATTGAATAGAGCTGCAACAGCTGGTCGATTAATCAGTTAGTCGAGAGGTTTTCAAACTGTCCCTTGGACATGACAGAAAAATGAACTCCAAACTTGCCTCAGAATCATCACGTCTTTAAGTTTTCTCAGTATCAAATTAATTCAGTGGTAAACATCTGTACATCCGTGGCAACACTGCCAACAGGAAGTGCCAATAGAACATTCTGCAGCATCACAATATCACGTTTTGTGCTACTGTATCGATTCTCAAAAACAGTTATAGATTTTTAATTTTTTTACATTTCTTTATTTTCTTAATCTGTTTACCTAAAGAATCCTGCAAGCACTCTGATTTATTTTTTTACTGATGTGGACTAATGTTAAATGTTTGCTCAGGCTGAACAAAACGTGGCCCCATAATGTTAAATATTACAGGGGCTGCAAAGAATACAAATACAGATCCCTCTGTTCTGATTTCATAAAATAAGCAAACCTTTGTATGCACATACTGGTGTGGTCTTTATACTATGTCAGTTTTTCTGAAGTTAAATCAAAAAGAAAACCCCTGCAATATATTTAATTGTCACCCCTGTTTCTTGAAACGTTTCATATAGCCAGATTCTTGCCAATATAGCCCTACTTTGTGTGGTGCCACACAAATATAGGAAGAAGAAATGGGGCTGAAGTTGTTGCTAACTCACTCACATGGCAACACTGCACTTCATGCTTACATCTCCTAAAGTCCCTAAAATCATGGGAAATGTAGTCATGCCCTACTCTTATAAGGAGTGACAAAATCTGTTAATATAAACCATTTTTATGTTGCTCCATAGATTTCCTTCCGTATTTCCCATCAACGTGACTCTTATTGCTCACACTTACAGACTGTTAAAACCACTGGAAATCATAGAGAGAAAATCGATCAGCAACCATGTGAACAGCTATGGAAGCTGAGAAGGGACGTGTTCTCAAAATCACAAGTTAATTTTTCCAAATTATATCTCAAGATAACAATTACATTTATGTTGATTCTGAAGAAAACAAAACTTCAAAACAAATTTCTTGAGATAATAATTATGGAGATTTTAATTATGGAGAACTCTAAAATGAGCGTCCGATTCATTTGATGACACCGTCTTCAAGATCACTGTCATGACTGTCAAGGCGAGGCATGAATGTGATCAATAACGGGTTCTCTTGATGTGACAGTTACACCTTAAATCAGCTGCTACGGTCGTCAAGATGCCATCTGTGCATGCTGCCATGGCGCTACTCATCCCTGATAAACATTTTAAGTCATAAGAGGAAACTACCTTTTATTTTCTCATGATAGCGGGTTCTCATGAAGAAAAAAATACATATCATTTTCTCTAGATTCCGGAAAAATTAACTTTTTATCTTGAGAAATTAACATAATCATAAATTCTTTAAAACAAAATCACTTTTTCTTCGTCTTACATGGTAGTAAATTAAATATATTTGGGTTTTGAACAGTTGGTTGGATAAATCAAGACATTTCATGACATCACATTGGACTGTAGGAAACTGTGACAGGCTTTTTTAACCTTTTCTGGATGTTTTATAGACCAGATGATTCATTGATTAATCGAAAAAATGATCAAAAGATTAATCAACAGTGATTAAATAATAACCACTAGTTGCAGCCCTATCAGCTAACAGAGCAGCCTGCTGATCCCCAGATACTACACACTGCAGGTCTCTCTCTCTCTCTCTCACACACTCACACACACACACACACACACACACACACACACACAGAAAATATGTAGTATGCAACATTTAGGCCAGTTGTGACTGCTGTCACAAACATCAAGAGTTCCTGTGTTAACGTCTGAGAAAGGCATCTGTTCCCAGTCTCACCAGTGGACTGGACTGCTTTGTCTACACACACACACACACACACACACACACACACACACACACACGCCCACACACACACCTTCACATTCTTTACAGTATGTTCAGCTTCATTTAACAGTCTCAGCTGTTCAACGTCAAATCCCCAAAACTATTTAAATCTAAACTACACCTATCATATGACTAACCTCCTGCCCTGATGTCACGTCATGCAATGTGGTGATGGTGAGAGCAGGAGTCTGATGCAAATAAATAACATATTCTGTACAAAGTATAAATACTCTTAGAGACAAGAGACACGTGAGGGACGAGCAGACAGATACTTAAAATAGTGCATTCTTTACAGTCACACAGAGGAAGAGAAAGACTGCTGCTTCTGTTCGCTTGCTTCAAATAAATAAAGTGGCACCAGAATATGAACATTAAAGCTAATATTTCATTAGCTGTGTCTGAACCGGGCTAAAGTCTCGTCTGCTGTTCAGACAGATCCAATCCATCGAGAGATAACTGTTTAACATCGAGCATTAAAGCTTCTACTGAGTTGAAAGTTTGCAAATGCTTAGATTAATTAGGTAGTATTCAGAGAGTATATTTGCACACTTCGACATGCGCTTCTACATGCCGGTGTAATGCTGTAAGCGGTGTGTTGATGTGCTCTAAATTTAACGGCTGCTAGCAGTGCTCTAAGGCAAATGTATAATTACTGTTATTAGATCTGATGGCCGCTAACCAACTGAGACTAACAGTGGAGTTAGAAAAAGTGCTTTCAATGTGATGCAAGTATTCTGAGTCAGACGTCCTGACTCTCATTCTTTTTTGCTGGATCCCAGCTTTTTGAACAGCTTCTTGCCTTTGGAGAAAAAGCCTTTCTTCTTCTTGCCTTGTGCAGAGCAGTCTGTCAGTGTCGGGGGGTCGGCTGCAAGAGGGGCTGGACGGGAGCAGCAGGCCTCCGCTGCTGCTAGAGCTGGAGCTGGACCCAAAGCTGGAGCTGGAGCTGGAGCTGGAGCTAGGTCCAGGTCTGATGTGAGGCCTGCAGTGGTTTCCAGTTTGGGTCGCAGCTCCGTGTGCTCTGTTGGGTCGGGGACGGGAGGTTCTGTTTGAGGGTGCAAAGCCTCTTCTAGGGTGGAGGGATCTTGTGTCTCTGTAGAAGACGTCCAGGTACCCTTCAGGAACAGAGTAAGGCTTTGAGCATGAGCATGCCAAATATATTGAACAATATTTATAATACCAAAAGGAAACACAAGGATAGTATGGGATGCCATTTATGTCAATACTAGATAAATACATAAATAAATAAAAATCAAAATAAATATAAATAATAAAAATAAATAATAAAAATCTAAATAATTTTATTACAATAAATATTTAATACACAATAATAATAATTATACTAATATAATAATAATAATTAAAAAATAAATATAAATATAAAAATTAGTCAATATAGTTAAATAAATAAACATTTTTTTATCAGTCTTTAAAAAAACTATTTATCTATTTCTTTATTTTTTTAATTGAACTATACTAACTCATTTATATAGATTTCTTTCAGCATTTACCTGTTTATTTCCATATCTTTTGTCTTATTTATCAATTCCAGGGTTTCTTTTATAGGCATTTATCTATTTATTCATCTATTTAATATTAACTTAAATGGTATTCCTTAAAACAGAACAAACACATAGGTGGAGGAAGATGATCTAAGAACTTTTTGACCCGTGTTTTGACCCAATAAAACCATCCACAGGTGCAGGATTCTATGTAAATGAGTGGTATAGAACTACAGTTACAGTGTAGGGAAGAGGACATAAACAGGGAGTGAACAGGGGACACTAGTGGTGCTCACTGAGCTGCTACAGTCCCTAACAACACTTACAATCACGTCTCGAAGTGTACACTTCTTTTCTGCTTCTGCAGAAGGCCATGCAGGAAACAGTGGGGCGAAAGAAATGTGACAGGGAAGAATTAAAGAAACAGAACAGAAAATAACAGCAACCAGACGCTGGAAATAAAAAGTAGACAAGAACTTTTTGATGTCAGTGACCTGTGAAAATGACACATAACGTATGCGTGCAGGTGAGCAGGGCGCCCACAGCTCCATACACAGTGGTACATGCAGCGAGACAGAAAGACTAAGCCACCTGTGATTCCTTCTTGGGCTCTGGTGCAGACTGAGCAGCGTGGTGCTGGGCTGGAGCATCCTCTGGTACAACCTGCAGGAAGTTGGAGGGCACTAAGCCGGTGTGTCCATTCAAATCTCCCTGGAGGAAAACATTAGGATGACAATGCTGTGATTTAACTACTGTAAAGCCATCATTTCTTATTAGTCAATCAACAGAAAAATTAATCAACAGGGCATTTTAGCCTTTAATCGATAGGACAGAGAAGTGTGAAAGGGGGAGAGAGAGGGAGAGTGACATACAGGAAATGGCCACAGGCTGAAGTCGAACCCGGCCCCTGCGGGAACAGCCTTGTACATGGGGCGCCTGCTCTATCCACTAAGCCACTGACGCCCCAATCAACTATTATTTTGATAGTCATATGTCCTTCCTAAGTGAGGAAGTACTGCTTCATCACCAAAATGCAGCTATAAACAGACCACTCTTAATTCTGGAGCTATGTCGACACTTACGTAGAAGAAGCCGTCTTCGTCCATGTCACCAAACACATGTATGATGTCTCCTGCGCTGAAGGTCAGCTCAGCCTGAACCCGGTCAGAAAAAATGAGGCAGATAATGAGCAAAAACTACCACCACACATACAGAAAATTGTCTGGAATATGATATATGCATGTGTCTGACCTCTATGTCAGTGTTGGGGGAGCTCTCTCGTGGATCATAATCAAAGATGGCGACCATCCTGCGAGCTCCTGGGGCTGGGTTCCCCACGGCTGCAGCAGCAGGGGCAGTCTGGCTGGGATCTGTCAAACAGAGAGGAGCAAACAGCTCAGTCTGACATCCTGGTAATGAGGAGTCACACGTCTCTGCAACATCAGCATGCGGCTTGTTGTGTCTGCACGTCCGACTCCCTCAGCGTCATGCTGAGCTGAGGAAAAGTCACATCACTGCAGTCAAACACATGGAAATAAGAATATAAACAACCGGAGATTAGCAGTGGGAGTTGATGTCTCCATTAAGAAGCTCGGAGCAGCTTGAGCTATAAAAATGAGGACAAGTGAAATGAGGTGATGAATAAATGATGAACTGTGAAATGAAAAGAGGAGTTAGGAGAAGGGGCTGCTTGACATTTATAATTGGGGATTAATAAGGAACTTACAAAGAAGACATTAGATTTGGTACTTTAATTTGGTACCAAGCAACATGCACTCTTCAGTGAATCCCCAAATGATCAAACAGCCCCTAATAAGGACAAATGAAAGTCAAACCTGGTGTTATCAGAAGCTAGAATACAGTACAACCATTAAAAGATATGTAAAAAAACGATCCGTTAAATAGCAGATAAAAACATGCTGTCCTCCAGCAGGCATTGAAACGGTCGTCTGATCATGCAGATGAGAGGCAGAGGAGTCAAACTACAAACCTTGGCTGGAGGAGTCTACGCTCTCCTCCCAAAGTGCCGCAGACTCCACTGCAAGAGATGAGGTATGGGGAAAGAGCATAAACATGATAAGCACAGAATGATATGAAAAGAATAATCCTGCCTGCAGTTAAAGTTTGTCTCAGTCATCACACAAAGATGGAGATCAGAGGGGATGGATGTCTCAACAGGTGAACTTTAGCCCGTCATGTAATGCAGTTGTGACATCAGAGCAGAACACTGGTAAAAGGACTTTTATCAATCAGTGAGTCATTCTGCTGCGATGTCTGCGATGTATTACATGAATATCCAATGAAAGCTGACAGGACTGATTCAGTACTCATGTATGTGCCTTTTGACATTTGGGTCACCCCATGACAACTCATCCTGAATTCAAAACTTTTCCCAGTTCATGTTCTCCTTAATCATTAGCTCAAGGTCCACAGAGTTTAAAATATTCAGTGTTATACTTGTGTTCATCCGTGTCGTAGAGCTAGTTTGCTGTCTCTGCTCTCTAGCTGTCTTAATTTGACTCACTCTACAGCAGGAAATGGCACTTCAAAATAAAAATTCTTTGCTGGAAATTCACTGTACTTTAAAAATAAATTGTGTTTTTTTACAAAACTGACATATGACCCATCAGTTGGGAACCACTGATTCATGGGACCTTGCAAAATAGTGAAGCTCTCCTCCAAATTCTTTTTATCCTGACCCCTGCAATGACACCTTATTTTGAAAACAAGGTCCAGTTACACGTGTATCCTTCAGCTAACTTTGCCAAGTCTATCACTAGCTCTCCCTGCTCGTTGGATCTGGGTCATCTAAATGCATTTACCTTCAGTGTGAGTGTATAGTTACACTACAGTTGTAGCGTTGGCTGGTTTGACCACAGAGATGTGAGTGATGGCTGGCTTGACCACAGTTATTTTTAGAATGTGCCCCACAGGCGAGCAGGCGCTCATGGCACCGTGTTGGCGAACATTACCCCTGATATATGATGTGATAGCCAGCCCAGCAATGAAAATGATTTGTGAAATACTCAGTGTGAATATATTGTGCTCCTGTGGGAAGAGTCTGCTGGGTTTAAACCACAGACTTTATATAACGATGGACGGGCATCTGCACTTCTTTTCACTGTACAAAAATGAAAATATCCCAGATAGAGCCACTGTCATCTTGTGCTGGTGATGTCTGCGCAGTAGTGATCTCAACCGGTATCGAGTTCCTGCCCACACACCCATCCAACCATTTGCAAGCAACAGCATTGATAACAAGCACAACGACTGGCGCGCACAGCTGTCAATCATGACTTCAATTACTACTTAAAACCAAACTTATCAGAAAATCTAACACTTGAACATACAGCAAGGAATGGGCGGGGTTTATGACCTGTATTGCAGCCAGCAACGAGAGGGCAATCGGGATGTTTTGGCTTCACTTTTGGGGAGCTGTCATGTTGTCCATCTTCATATTCAGTCTACGTTTTAACCGCTGTTGACGGTTTTGCAATATTTTAAATAATTCTGCAAAACAGGCTTTTAAGTCAAGTTAGATGTTAGGTGATCATTATACTAATTCAGCTTTGAATGTTTGCTTTCTGTACACACAAACATGAGGAGGAAAACCTCATGTATGCCTTTCACAAACTAAATTAGAATAAATACAGAACACTGAACAAAACACACAGAATACACATTAGCATTTTAAATAAATGATTCATTGATCAACAGACTTGTTGTGTCAGTTAAAATCTGGGGCATCACATTGGGGCCACTTGACAGCAAACTCCCAGGATGTTTTTTGTTGCCAGTCCACGCCTGGTTTATTCCAAGCCTTACTCATTGCTCATTTTCACTGGATTGGGCTGAAATTTGTACTGAACATCAAAGAACCCCTCAGGACACGTTACAATATTGTGACTTCTATTTGATTCACAATGCCAAAACTCGGTGGTGGTAGATTCTGGGGCAGCTGTGGGCTTGATTCTGCTCAGTATTAATATTGTTCCATCACATCTGGGAGTTATTTGGTCCTGCGTAAAGAAAAGTGCCACAGATTTTGCTTAATATAACTTTGAAGTCGAAAAACCTATTTCTTAATATATTCTGACTGTATATTTTCCCAAGAATAATCATTTTATTTCCTTTAAACTCTTGTTGTACGGGCAGTTTTAATATTCACTGCAGATAGGGCTGTAAATGAGATGAACAGGAAATATCCTCACTGCCTTTTTCTGCGGGTGCTCGCCATCGTCTGCCTGATTGAATGTTTAAGAAGCAAGGTGTGCCTGCCTGGACAGAAATGGTGACACAGACGTGCCACGGGAATTACACATTTCGTTACACCCCTAATTGCAGATACATAAAAAAATTGAAGATCTTTCATTACTCTACCGTTTAATAATTCCCTATAAACCAGCATTTCTTACACTTGTACCATTGTGGACAAAGCCAGAGAAACATAAAATATTCCATGACATGAGCCGGGAGTTTCTTGGTGAGTTTGTATGGAATGACCCATGTGTGAAAACATTACTGAAAAAATCATAAAGAAGTTAACCTGTGTGGAGATGGTTACTCTGCCTATAAGCACTCAGAAAGAAAGTGTAACACTGAGCTTTAATTACAGACTGTGAAAATATTCTCCGAAAATATTCATATTTTACCAGACTGCTGGGAAGCTGTCTGATTTCACTACTACAGTATCTGACCTAGAAAAATCCCCCCTGGTCGCTGAGTGAGAAGCAGCAACTGAAAGAGTGAAAGCTACAGAGAAAGAGACAGAAGCAAACCAGAGAAGAGAATAAAGGTGGTGGGAAGCCACAATCTGCAGCGAGACACACCTTTCTTGGATCGTCTCGGTTTCGGCGGTGGAACAGGGCGACGTGGAAGCTGTGCGTGTGTGCGAGTGCCTTTATGGAGTTTTAGAAAGGAAAACAAATGAAACCAAAAAGAAACACAGAGGTGCAATCTTTGAGAGAAGCAGACCAGACAAAAGTCGACAATGAAAAGCCAGTGAAGAGCAATTTAAAAATGACAACCAGTGAGCAGCAGACACAGCAGTGAGAGCAAGTGGAAGTGAAAAGGTTAAACCATCTGCAGATACCGCTCTGGGTAGAAAGCAGGAAACAGAAGCAAAGTAACAGCTTGATTTTTTTTTCTCCGTGTGGCTCGCTACAACTCGCCACAGGCAAACACTTTGACAGGTTTATCTTTTTAGACGCCTGCATGAAAACGGTGTCAGTGACTGAGAATAGATGGTTCTGATTTCCTTAATAGCAACACAGTGAACCAGAAGCCATACAAATATACAAAGTAAAGCCAGGGGGAAAGTTTGGGTCTATTTTCATTTAGTTCAACTGAAATCTGGTCTGATCTGATGAGATCTCTTTTTTGTGCTTCCTGCCGATCCAAAAGGTCAACAGGCCAACTGCTTTCGCCTTTTCTCCAACAGCCTGTTTGCAACCACGTGACTATTAAGATGTGCAGAATTCAGATGGAGGGCAGGAAGTGATGAATTCATATACTGCATAAATCAGAAAAACAGTGAAGTAACGCCATAAAAGGGTTGGATGAACCTGGATGTGATCCATAAATCAAACAAATCTAACATCTGTGAAATGACTAATATTCCTGACATCAAAGTAATGAGCAAAGAAAATAAGTAGACTAATAAAGGATGAAGATCAGACATCAGTCAGCATCAGTCCTTCGTCCTGTCCTCTTTGAATCACTGTCTGCAGATGCTGCTGATAAAGAGAGGAGGGGCTGTTTGTGTCAGCCGGCAGCTAAGTTTACAAGAATCTGCCCAATTTTAAGAGAAGTGGAACACTAAGTTAAACACTTAAACTGCACACAGACAGCTTTCGTTTTTGCTCGTCTGTAACAATTAGCTATTAGCCGAGCTAGCGTGCTGTGCTTGTGTAAAACATAACGTTAGCAGTGGTGGAAGAGAGACTGTGGACAGAGCAGACTGAAATATCCCTTTCTATATGTTTCCATGTGTTGTTTAAGTATTGGCACTTTACTGGCAAAGGTTTTATTGCACACAGTAACAAGCCGTTTTCATCAGCTGCAGTAGTCTTCCACTTATCTTGACTTTGACTCTCTGTACTGCTACACGCTGACTTCACTCTGTGTCATGTGTGTGTTTGTGTGCCTGAGTGTATTTAGAGGAGGTCATCCCAGGCACAAAGAGCAAAGGAGAGGCTGCAGCGTGATTATAAATTACACCAAAACTTTAAATAGTTCCAATAAAATATCAGAACATTGTACTTCTGGGGAAGTTTTGGTCCCTGAATTTAAATGCTTAGTGAGCGCTCTTGACTTTCACGCAATTCTTTGCATGGACACAGAGGGGGAGAGGCTTTGCACTGTAAGGCTCCGAGATAACATTATCTTCTTTTTTCTGCCTAGAGGTGGTGAATTTAGAGTTCACAGATACTTAATACGACACAGTCTCTGGATTTTGTTTGATATCTAGTGTCTGAAATAAATGTTGTTGCCCGTTTCCAATCTGTCATTAGCGCAAGTAGCTTGTTTACTGTATTACGTAAATGCTAAACGTCCCGCTGAGGCCGTTCAATCTTTAAAACATGCCCTCCATCTGACAAGAGTGCTGATATATGATGTCATATGCAAAGGAAGCTATTAACCACAGACAAAAGTATATTAATAAAGTTTCTTTTCACACAGTTGACCAATCTCATGGCTACAAAAATAAAGTTTAGTAAATAATAGATATTTTGGGTCTGGCTTCTGTAACACTTGTGCTGCTATTTTCACTTACCACTGTAACATGAACAGCGGTGACATCATGAGTAAAACATTACAATTGACACCTATGGTAAAGGATGTCCAAATGTGTTCATTTTCAGCTGTAACAGAACACATTTAACAGCACCCAGCATCATTAGAATTTACCAAGAGGACACTGTTTGTTGTCTTGAGGCAGTTTCACCTACCTATCTTCTCCATGGAGGCCGCTGTGGACAAGAAGCCCTGCTGCAGGAGCTGCTGCCGGGTCTCCTCATCCTCCACCTGGATCTCAGACACCATGTTGCACGGCACGTAGCCCAGATGACCACCACACTCTCCTCGGTAGAACCCGTCTGCGTCCTTATCTCCGTAAACCTGCAGAGAGGAGAGTAACGGTGTATCTTCACACCTATATTGCTAGCTTTGTGTCTTTTGAGCTTTAAAACACAAGTCAAAGTTACAGAAATGTTTCTCATGAGAAGACCATTACACACAGGGTGCATGTTTAACCTTGCATGTGCTGCAGCCCTGCCGTTAATGTGAGATTATCAGGGATGCTTTGAATGAAAACATCATGAGTGTCAGAGCTGTGTGGGGACATACTTTGATGATCTGTCCTTCAGTGAAGGGCAGCTCCTCCTCAGCAGCATCAGGATTAGGCGACATAGTGGCGGGATCATAAGGGAAGAGGGCCACAAAGATCCGTATGTCACTCTCTCCTTTCATCTTTGGTGAATCAACACCTGCAAACACACACACACACGGGCGACAGATTTGTTCATAAAAAAGTGGAGCACTGCGACAATACAGACATTTCATATCACACTTTGATTCTCTGCCTGAGCCTGACTGGACCCAACCCAGCCTGACAGATTCGGGCTTAGCTGGGCTGTAATTTCTCCATATACCACTGGGTCAGGTTCTCACAAATTAATCTGTGTTTTTTCTTTTATTTAACTGAAACTGGCAGTTCTTATGAGAAAATGGCAGGAGTGGACTGGACTGAATCGAGAGGGAAAGGGGGAGGCGCCATAAAGCGAGAGCGAGAGTGATGGGGCTGCAAGACGACTTCTTTGGGAGAATTTGCCTCTGCTTCCCCAGCATTGGGAGAGATGTGCGTAACATGCAGTGGAGAGCAGGGATCACCATCTGCACGCCACACCGCCGTGGACCACTGTGCACACTGGAAGATGATGGCTCGAGGGGCGCAGCCTGCTCTGCTGAACTGGTTGTGCCTTAGACGCAGAGCAGACCACAGACTTTTAAATAACAGAAGGAAGAGAAGAAGGAGAAGTGCTGCGAGGAATCATGTCAGCCCTTAGCTGTAGGGCTAAGTATGTTTTTAACAATACAAATTTAGATCTTTAATCAAGCTCAAGCCCAAAACTGCTGCCATACTTCGGGCTCCAGTGTACATTCATGTAAAGTTGTGCCTGATTCTTTGGGCTGGATCAAAACTCTAATTTCATACACCAGATGTATCTAATGTGGACAAAGTGTTAACCTCTGTAGCACCAGTGCTATGCGCAAACAAAGTTAACACACAGCCCTGAATCCCTTGTCCTTGTTATGCAATTCATTTGTTTTCTTTTGCTCGGCTAACTTAGCCTTTATAAAAACTAAATACAATTCATTCTTTCCATTAGTGCACTCCACATACTCTGCACACAAGCCATGCATTGCTTGCAATGAGTTCTGCAAATAGCATAGCCACCCTGCCCCACCCCCACCTCCCACCAACTGCACTGCTGCTATGAACAGCGCTCGCCGAGCGCAGGCATGTCCTTAAAAGAGGTAATCAAGCTAAAGCACTGATCCTAAGCTGTGTGAGCCGTTTGACAAACGTGCACTCGTTCATGATCTGCAGCAAGCGAGCACCAGGGAAACAGTGTTTGACCCACACTCTGATCTAAATCTGAGGACAGTCACTGAAACACTCGGGCAAAAAAAAAAAAAAAAGAACATTATCAAAGGTGCAACGTCACAGATCGTGCAAAGCAGCCTGTAAATGTGGCGTGTAGCGCTGATAGCTACAGTCGTGAGGTATAACACCAGGGTGGCTAAAAGCATTACAACTGTAGCCTATTTGACGGCAAGCGACACGTTTGAAGAGCCATTGTGAGACTTTAAGACGTGTTCTCTATCTCATTAGGGAGAATCAGCCCATCTGTGGCAAGAGTCACGGGCAGACAACTTGCTCACTTTCACATCCTCACTGATTTTCTAGTATATAGGACAGAACTTCTCCCTGCTCCCTTCCTCTATCTGTGTGCACGTGTATACGTGTGTGTGTGTGTGTAGTCAACTGTGCACACACCCGAATTACCAGAAAGGTCAGGTCTATTCATGAGGGTAATGTTTGTGTCATCACAACTGAGCGGAAAAAAGAAGAGTGAGGGAAGATGTGAAGGAGGAGGAGCCTCACTGCAGGCCGTTTCTTTGCTGGCTAATCGAGGTTACTATTTTAATGTCTGTCACTTCCTCCTGTCATGACAAGCCACTTTGAGTTAAGCCGGTTCTCAGCTTAGCAGGCTCTCCCCCACTTCTTCGCTGCAGCTACAGTTCCTCCCCCCTCCCTTCCCACACAAGGTGCTAATCTGCCTGCCATCATGTGAGAGAGGGAGAGACTTGCCAACAGAAAGCACAGGTGTGTCAGCATCGCGTCAGGCTGCTTAGTTCAGAGAGGGAAAGAAATCAAGAGACGGAGGAAGCAGGAAGAGAAATGAGGAAACGGTCTCTGACCTTTGAGTTGCCTGGCCTGTGAGCACGCTGGTTTAGAAGAGAGCTCAGCCTGCGCTCCCCATGATGGGCCGGCCTCAGCTGGAGGGATTTGGCCGGGCTCCTGCTCGACATGCAGAAAGAGAAACAAGGCAATAAGACAAACATCTAAACACTGAAACACAATCTCTACTGGGGAGGAGAGGACACCTTAGGGGTCAGAGGAAATGAACAACAACTACAACTGTTCAATTTTTAAAGCAATATTCAGTAACTATGCTTCCTCATGTGATCTGTTTGAATTGTTTCAGTAGAGATGAAAACTTTGTCAAGTGCAAAAAACCCTGAGGTTTCCAACACTCTACTGTTTCAGCATAAACATGTTCCTTTTTTGCACTGTGGTGTTTGTTAGCAGACCAAAGCACAACTCCTCTAACCTAATTCAGGACAAGGCAGTACTGACTAGTTAAAGACAAAAGCTGAGTGGTTGGAGGAGAATTTAAATGCAACAGGAAGTACTGCAGTCAGACAGAGGGAGGACAGATTGAGCCATGCTTTGGCAGACACAGAATCTTACAAAGATTATAAGTCTGAGGCCACTGGGTGATGGACTGGTTTAAACTACTCTGACCACCTCACACCTCTTCCTAAGTGGATGCGATGCTAATAAATGAACATTGTTCTGCTTCGGTTTTCAGTTTTTCCCATAACCTTTTGCCATAACCTACTCTGTGTGTCAGCGAACGGGCTAAGATATATCGCTTGCTTGAAAAACTGCTCACCCTGTATGTGAGGAAGAGATGTTACACCAAACAACTGAGATCACAAGACTGCGCCACAACTCATGATTTCATTCTGACATTGGATATTGGTCTGTGATAGTCAAATTGCTTGAAAAGTCATTTGGTGTTAGGCTAGCGTAACATGAAATAATAAATGATAAATAATATCCTGCATTTTGCCTGTTTTTATATGCCACACAATGTGCTACCTAACCTCCCTTTGTCCACTGCAGTGATGATGATGACGATGGAAAACGTAGTTGTCTACTAAGCGGTGGAGTTAGGTGACATCCACTAAAGGACTCAGAGGGTTAGATCCACACAGCTACAGGGAAGCGGGGCGGGCTGGGACAACACACCCATTGCAGTTGGCCTGCAGCAATGTTTACCAGCGGATCGGCCTTCAGCCCTCGGCGGTGATGAGGTCTGCTGTGCTCCATCTGAGCCCCCTCCACCCACCACTCAGAGCTCATCTGCTCCAGCACCACCTCCCCCGGACTGTATTCCACAGGCTCCTCATTGTCATCCGTGCCATACTCCACGTCAATCTCCACCCCGCGACCAATCTGTGACCTCACAGTGTGTACTGTTTTGCTGGCTGGGTAGGGTCTTGGCGGGGTAAGACCATAGCCGGGGTTGGCTGCTGCGGCGACAGCCATCTGACTCCTGAGCATGGCCTCCCTCCTAAGGCGGTCCCCTAGCCCTCTGAGCAGTGCTTTGCTGGTGGGGGTCAGCTGGGAAGGACAGCGGGCTGAGACCCGCTTGCTGGTGGGACCCGGATATAAACACAGGTCCTCTTCTTCAGGATAACTGATGGTGTCCACCGTGTCTGCGTAGTGCACCCTGTGCTGCGTCTTAGGTTTGACCTGCGAGGATCCGTGCCTGAGTAAAGGCTCTTTGGTTAGTGAACTAGGATCCCTGTTGAAGTGGTGATGGTGTGGGGGAACGTTTGGGTGTGGATGTGGGTTGGGGTGATGCTGGGGGGCATGGTGGAGGCGTTCTGAGTCTCTGTGGCGAAGGTGGCTGGGCCTGGGCCGAGGGTGACTGCGGTGGGTTAAAAGCTCTTCTTGACTGCTATCTTCCTCTTCTGTCACCTCAGGGATGCTGAACAGCTGCGTGTTGTGTTGGACCTGAGCAGGCAACTTGAGGATCCTCTCAAGAACCTCCTCATCACTGTCTGGAGTCTCCAACTTGCGTGACTACGAGACCACACAAGCGAGACAGTGCAGGTGATGGCGTGATGATATCATATTGGTCAGAGAAAATAAGGGAAGTGCAAACAAAACAGAGGCCATGCAAAGGAAAGAGAAAAGAAAGAGGACGAAAATGATCTCAATCAAGCATGATTAATATATAACAGAAAAAAAACACCCAATGACAACATAACAAGACAAACTGAAAGAAGTATATGTCACTCAAAAGGTGCGTTTGGCAGTGAAATATATTGTGCGATCGTTCTTTTACCCTGTTAGCTGTGACTGTGTAGCCCCTGGCCTGTGCTTCTCCCAGGTGGTCTGAATAAAGGTCCTCCTCCTCCTCCTCCAGGATGTCAGACAGATCTGAACGGCTGTTGTCTGCGTGGTAATCACTGGGAGGCTCCACAAGCCCTCTGTTGTGACTCTGCAAAAAATACGTCAACATTCTCAACCAGAGAACCTATTATGCTCATTTTCAGGTTCATACTTGTATTTTCGGGACAAAAACACTTTATTTTAACTCAGACTGTCTGTGCTGGACCACCTGTGTTAACCCTGTGTCTGGGATGCTCAGTCCTGATCAGACAGAGTGCGTTTTGTAATGGTTTTGAGAGTGAAGTGTTTTGCTTGCTGCTTTTGTGTTCCTGAGCATGTCGCATTTTTCGCAGGAGAGCCCTAATTGCCTCGAGTTTAAAAAACTTTAAGGGACGTCGTTGGTGGGTTTTCCAATTGTCCCATCAAATTAATTGAGGGGTGAGCCTTCTGTGGTGGCAATGACAACACAAGTATCGTACATGGTTTCTGTGAATCTAACATTAGCTCGCTTTCATTGTTGCCCTGGTAAAGCTTCAAGACATAGCTGAACCAATTATTGCTAAAACTACTTTCTAACGTTTTACGAACTGTAATTAGGCTGAGCGATTGACAGTAGATGGACAAACTGTCCCTGACTCATCCTAAAATACAACCAACAATCATCCATGTGAAGCTCCTAGACCACCTGGTGGAAACTCCCTGTGGTTCCTCCTCTTTTTGAGGATCTCATGTACCCAAACTGTTCTGTTTCCCTGTGACCAGCGTACAGTTTGAGAATAGCTCGCCAGATTTTAAGGTACAGATCTATGAGCTTACTTCACAGCAACATAGTGGTTAAGCTAAAGACAGGTGATTTGGCAGCTGCCCAGCAACAATATTTAAAAAAAGTACACAGCAAGTAGCAAAAAGCGCTCTGTTCGCACTTGCCCAGGATTCAACAAAAAACGGTAATGCAGTGGGCCTCATGTTTTGTAACCTCCAAAATGTGCTCTGTCTAATCAAGGCCTAAGCCCCACATCTGAAAAGCCTAGTCTGCTCTGACTGCTCAGCATTCCTGGGACTATCTGCATATCTGTGTCACTGCATCGTCACTGCAGCTGGGAAACGGCGTGTGGCGGCACTTTCTACTGTGAAAAACCACCAAGAAAGCATTTAAACACAACTGGGCATGTTGTAGCAGGAATATGATCCAAAATCGTGCAGAAATCAACAACATCAGCAACCAAGATGACATGTTTCCCCTGACATTAGCATGTAGCTACATGTAGCAGTGTTACAATGTAAACACTTGCAGTAGTGTGCCTGGATCAAATGACCATGTAAAGAATCCATCCTGGGCTGAGGAAAAAAACCAAAAAAACGTTGGAAACAGAGTATGCAGAATGGTCTTTAGACTGTGAAGCACATATATATTTTACATCCTTCTTAGTCATTTCATGGGATATTGAGTATTTGACACTACAGAACAGTAGAAAGTGTCAGCGAATCAGGGTTGACTAGAGCTTTGACTGGGTCCCAAAAAATCACGCCCAACCCTACATGAACTTGCACAGTTTCTGTCCGAGCCTGCGCTTGAGCTACAGTAGTAGTTTTGGGCCTTAGCCTGGGGAAATGTTGAGAAATTACAGCCCCACTTGGCTCAATTGGGTTCAGGCAGAGAATTAAGGGTCTATGTCTGACCTGCTGCTTCATGCAGTACGCTGGCTCTTGGTCCTGTCTCAAGAACTCTTCGATGGACACCAAGCGGGTATTCTCCAGCTCCTCCTCTGCCTCTGACTCCAGCGGTGAGATGCTGGGGGGTCGGTGGAGGTTAATGTCCTGAGGGTTAAGGAAGTCTGCGATCGGGGCTTTGGGTGGGGTAGGGATGCGCTCAGGGGTCCCGAGCTTGGCACTGGAGTCCTCGATGAACTCTGTGAGAGATGGGAAAGGACGTATCGTTCCAGGGCTGTCGGTGTCTCTGCGCTGCTCCAACACTGCTGCTGCTGCTGCTGTTACCGGTGACTGTGCTGGTGCTGGTGCTGCTACAGGCGATGGTTGAGGTGATGCGGTTGGGGGGGAGGTCACATTAACCTGAAGATAAGAAAGACAGTCAATACAACGCTATTTAATTAACTTGGTTCTTTTAGAAGAGGGGCTTCTAAAGTCTGAGAGTGTGGGCCCCAGACACACAAAACTGAGACAACAACTTGTTTCCATTTAGCAAACTGGCACCATTTCAATATTCTGAGCTATCAATCAGCAGTTCCTGTTTGCAGTGTACCCGTGGATGTACAGACAACTATTACTGGATTACCTTAAGGACAACTTCTAAGTTCTGGAGTTATAAGCTGATTCTCAGCTGATTTATGGACATTAATTTGTGATGGACAAAGAAGTTTATGACATGGAAAATTAAGTCCCATTTAACCTTACACTTACCTTACTTAGCGAATTTGCAAAAGCTGCAACCACATACATAAATGCATCCATGCTTTGCCCCTTTTTGCCAATTAGCACGAAAAGTTAATGAGCTGTTCTTTGACCCATGAACAATCTTTCCACAAAATTTGTGCAAGTCTGTGAATCCATTTGTAAGTTAAGTGCATTTTTGCGATCGGCCCCTCCCATTACCATGTATCGCTTTTAGCCAACTGGCATGAACACAAACACACACCTTCACACACTTGATCTCTGTGGCAAGGGCAAAAACTCTGACCGAATAGGGTGGGGAAATTTTTGGGGACCTACCAATTGACTGACTGAGCGAGCCATAGAGATGCTGGCTGCTGCTGATGCAGATTGCAGTAATCAGGTGCTAAGGGTTTTAAGGTACCTTAATGTACTCCATGAGCTACCACTGCTACCAGCTGCTGATTATGTTTATAAGAGGGTCAAATCCCCAGGCTAAACTGCAATAACTAACTCCCAGTTGTTTTAGAACACTGGCATGAACTGGAAGGACAACAAACAAGTTGTGGTCTCTCATACATATAT